CTCGCATAGTTTCTTCTTTAGCTTCTCGAATGCTTCTTTATGCTTATCATTCCAAGCATAAGTAGCTCCTTTGTGGGTCAAAGCTGTTAATGGACTAGCGATCGAAGAAAAGCCTTGGATAAATCTTCGGTAATATCCGACTAATCCTAAAAAGCTTCGAATCTCTGTGGGACTTTTCGGTTGTTCCCACTTCATCACAGCTTCGATCTTCGCTGGATCAACCATTATCCCTTCTTGGTTGACCACGTGACCCAAGAATTGGACTTCTCGAATCCAAAAATCACATTTGGAGAACTTCGCATACAACTTCTCCTTCTTCAACACTTCTAACACTTCTCGCAAGTGTATGCCATGCTCCTCTTGGCTTTTCGAATAAATCAGAATGTCATCTATGAACACTATCACAGATTTATCAAGGAACGGGTTACAAACTCTGTTCATTAAATCCATGAATGCTGCGGGAGCATTGGTCAGCCCAAACGACATAACCAAGAACTCATAGTAACCATATCACGTTCTGAATGCAGTCTTCTCGATATCCTGCTCTTTTACCTTTAGCTGATGATATCCTGACCTTAGGTCGATCTTTGAAAAATAACTTGAACCTTGTAGTTGATCGAATAGGTCATCAATCCTCGGCAACATATATCTATTCTTTATTGTTGCCTTATTCAGCTCTCGGTAATCAATGCACATCCTCATGCTTCCATCTTTCTTCTTTACGAATAACACCGGAGCTCCCCAGGGTGATGAACTAGGTCTTATGAAACCTTTGTCCAATAACTCCTGAAGTTGCATCATCAGCTCCTTCATCTCCGTTGGTGCTAATCGATAAGGTGCTTTTGCAATTGGCGTTGTTCCGGGAAACAAGTCAATACGAAATTCTACTTGTCGATCGGGCGGTAATCCAGGAAGATCTTCGGGAAATACTTCCGGATAATCACATACGACAGGAATATTTTGCATCACCTTCTTTTCCTTCTTAGCATCGATCACGAATGCTAAGTATGATGTACACCCCTTGGTCAAACATTTTCTGGCTTTCATTAGAGAAATGATTCCAGAATTTACTCTGCGTTTATCTCCATACACCATAAACGATTCCTTCCCAGGCGGATTCACTTTCACTATTTTCTTCTTGCATAAAATTTCGGCATCATTGGCGCTAAGCCAATCCATTCCCAAAACGATGTCGAAACCGTTAAGTTCGATAGGCAATAATTCCTCGTGGAACTTATTCCCATTCAAGTCAATTAAGATGTTTTTCATACGATGGCTAACAGGTACAAACTTGCCACTAGCAACTTCGACTAATAAAGCATTATCTAGTCTAACAACAAGCAAAGCTAGTCTTCTACCAAATTCATGCGATATAAAGGAGTAGTTGGCTCCAGAATCAAATAAAATTTGGGCAGACAATTTGTTAACGAGAAAGGTACCTGAAGCGACATCAGCTTCATCTTTAGCAGCTTCCAGTGTCCTCTGGAATGCTCTCGCCTTTGGCTTTGGCGGAATATTGGGTCTTGCTGCTTCCTTCTTTTTCGTACAATCTCTTGAGATGTGCCCCTCCTCACCACAACCATAACAAACATTCTTGGTGAAGGTGCAGTCGTTGGCATAATGCCATGGCTTTCCACATTTGAAGCATGTGGTTTCCCCGCCACACTTCCCATGATGCTTTTTCTTGCACTTGTCGCACCATTTCGCCTCTACCTTTCCTCCACTTCCTCTCGAACCAGATTTCGAGAATTTACTTTTCTTGCTGGATCCTGAAAATCCATCGATTTTTCTTTTCTCACCAACCTCTGACCTTTCCAGACCTTTTTCCCTGATCTGGGTCTCAACATTTCTAGCAGCCCAGATGGCGGCTTTCAATGTGGTTGCTTGCTTAACCATTGGACCATAGTCCGCTGGTAGTCCAAGGGCAAACTTGTTGACCTTAGAGAGTTCTGTAGGCACCAAATATGGGATAAACTTCATCTTTTCTGTGAAACTTGCAGCGTATTCAGTAACGCTCAATTTCCCTTTCTTCAAATTCTGAAACTCATTACTGATTTCCAGAAGGTCCTGCTCGGAGCAGTATTGCAGTTTTAGTTGTTCCACAAAGTCTTCCCAAGACATTTTGCTTGCTTCTCCCTTGGGCATAGAGTCAGCTAACAGCTTCCACCAACTCAACACGCCAGATTTTAGCAGAGGGATCGCAAGAGCGGTCTTCTGTCTGTTGCTGCATTCGCAACTTTCAAACATAGTCTCCATTTCGGAGACCCAGTCCATAACTTGCACCGGCGTCGGGCTTCCGGATAGACATGATGGTTTGGATGCCATGAAATCCTTGTACTTGCACCCACGACCATCATTTCCTCCATACTGGTTATTGCGTCTAACCACTGGTTGTTCGTCTTGACCAATGATCCCACTAAAGTTTTCTCCTTCAGACTGCCCTCCATTCTCCTCGGGCTCTTCCGCTTGAATTGACGGTTCTTCACGATTCTGCCTAAGCAGGCGTCTTGTTTCTTCCATCTGACGATCCAACATCATTTGAATCATCATTTGTACACCAGCCATTGTTATCGGCTCAGGTGCAGCAACTACGACATGTACTTGTTGATTTACAGGCGGTTGATTCCTGTTTTCATCAGCATTTCCAACTCCGCTTCTTGTTCTCACCATTTTGATCTATACACCGAATAATTTCACCTTATTACTCCAAACGATTACATGCTAGTTCTAATATCGTATACATACGCTTAGAATCCTAAACACATAAACCTTCAGATCCGGTTGGCAACAAACCGTAGATCCGAACAATTAATATCATGTATGGCAACATATAACATTTAGCACATAAAAGCATTTTAGGCAACTTTCCTAAAATAAACTAGTGCTCGTGTCTAAAATTTATCAGACACACATCTCACAATCTCCACTTAGCATCCTAAGTTTAAGTCTAGAAATCCTACAAATTCCTAGTTCGCTTAAACTAATGCTCTGATACCAACTGTGACATCCCCAAAATCTCGGCCAGAAAAGACCGATTTCATTTATGCTTTTTAAACATTTTCAGAGTAAATCCTTTTGATTTTGAAAGAGATGCGGAATTTGTTCCCAAAAACAAAACATGATAAAATAGATATTTATCAAAACATTTCATAATGAAATATGAATTCATTTCATAATCAAAAGTCGGGATGTCATGTTCCGATACAGATCATAAAGCATAAACGATAGCATTACAAGTCATTCAACAAACACTACTAGAAAAAAGCCCTTTAATGACGCGCAAACAATGACACGCGCTGATAGACGATACGCATTTGTGCGTGCCCTAAAAAATAATGTCAGTTTTGCAAAATATGAAGGATAGAGGGCACCGCATTTGTGCGTGCCCTAAAATTAGTGTCAGAAAAGAAAAAAAAAAAAAAGAAAAAGCGGAGGGCACCTTTCATAAAACGTGTGTCATCTAAGAGTGTCGCTTTATAATTTTTTAATGAAACACGCGTTTTAAGCGGGATTTCACCCGCCTATACTGGATCCCAAAAATTAAACCCCCCCGCCTCTTCCGATTAGCAAGAAAAAGCCCTAGGGCGTTGGTCTTCATAGCAGCATCGCACCACCACCCAACCTCCGATCTCGCACCGCCAACTGTCTCCGACCATCTTCTCCAACCATTTGGGAGAAGTTGTTTCCAAACGTTTCAACATTTCATTACGTTTGACCAGCTTCTAAACCAATTTTCCCTTCCATCTTACGAAGACATCCTATTTTTCTTCTTGAGCGATTCCCCCCTTCTCCTCTAATTACTTTCTCGGCTTCTCCCCTGACTTACAACAAGAAAACCCTAGTTCTTTCCTTTAACTCGTCTTTGCAAAATCAAGCGCATACAACCATCATCTATGAGAGTACGTCTGTCTTCTTCCTCTTACAATCGCTAAGCCCTAACACCGAAAATTGAAAGTCAATTGACCCTCCGTTCGAAGAAAAAGGTAAGAATTTTCCTTTATTTATTCCATTCTGTTACTTTGACCTCATATTCTTCTGTTCTTCATCTTTTTTCTTCCAAATTATCAACTCTAGCCCTATACTGTGTTTTCTTTAAATGGAGAACTATTCAATTTAGGGCTTGATTGCAATTTTCTCCATGAAGCCCTTCTTCAGTAGTCAGCTTTTTCATCTTTTTTCTGAAGGACCAATGCCCTTCTTTAGTGATTTCAGGATCCATGTAAGTATCAATGTTGAATTCATCTTTTTCCGATTGCTTTTCCATCTCAGAATGCAAATAGGTCTGGAATTTTACATCATCTGTGATTTTAAGGGATGAACTTTCTTTTAAAGACCTTGCAAATTCCTTCTCGCTTTTTGATTTTCCACTTAGAACTAATACAACAGGTCGTTGGGACTCCATGTTTGCTATAAAAAAGCACGATCCAGTTAGTATACACATATCATAAACATTGGATTCTACAATCTTAGATGATAGCTTTTCACTCCCCTTTGACATCCAGATCTTGGGTGGAGATGCATAAAATCCACATTTGGTCTGATGTCCATCTTCTCTGTTTCCGTTATTGTATTATGGGAATGGGTGTATTTATATTTATGGTATTATTTGTAAGTTCTAATAGAATTTAAATTAAAAAGTCCACGTTGGATACCATGTCAGCACCACATGAACATAGAGTGGACACTATTTGCCAACTATATGCCACATAGGATGCCTTCTCAGATGGGTTTACCTGTTCAAAAGCTTAAAGCGGAACAAAATATGAAGTTCAATGTTCGGTTTGTATAAGACTACAAGTACATGATGAGTGACCTAGCATGCAATATGGCAATAGTTTGTGGCTGTTATGTTATGTGACATAACCACTTTTTTAATAAGACGATCGATTATTGCCATATTGGTGTAAACATGTGAAAATCTGATGATTATTTTTAGATTTTAGAACGTATATCTTCCAAAGGTTATATAGCAATTTGATAGAAACAAACTTTACTTTTCTATGATAAAGCACCAGGCACCACATGTACAGGTTAATAATGCTAATGGGGGGTATGGCTATCAAGATACTCGGATGCAGTTGTATTCACCTGTTAATACTCTGGAAGAGCAAACTAGGCAATTGTAAGTGTTCTTTTCAATTTGTTATGTACTTCATATCCCCTCCCCCTCTCTTTTTTTCTCTATAATATAAGAAGAAAATAAAGTATTGATGTGGAGAATCCGTGTGAAGTATAGGATGCCAACTCAGCATGTCTACCGACAGAATGAATGGGATAAAAATTAATGACTAAATTGAAACTTCTAGGGATTTTTACTGTGTACAATTTGAAGATGGTTATTGCAATTCGTTGGTTCCTAATTATGTGGAGGACAAATAAATCCGATATTTTATACCCTTTGGCATGTATTTCACCAAAGGGATCCTTGTAAAAAGAGATCGTGTTACCTTTTGACATTATCAGGTCCTTAGTTAGAACTTAGAATTGATGGTGGTTGTTTTTATGACACAAACTAGTGATTTTGGTTTTCTTGCTGCTTTAGTTCTCTAAATATTCCTCGTGCAAGGGAAGAAACTCTCTCCAGACATTCTATTTTGAGCCCGAATGGACTTCGTGGACAACACCCAGCTCCTACCTTCAATGTTGCGGTAACTTCATTTTCTTTTTGGATTCGTCTAAATGCATAGCATTAGCATCTTACTTTCATTTTTTTCTTCCTATTATTGCATGAAAAATCTACTCAATCATAGCAGTAAATATCATGTCTTTGCATGACATTACTATAATTGGGTGCTACGATGTTATAATAGGAAAAGGAAAGTAACAAATAAATTTAGAAGTACGTTGTTATTTGTTCATGTAACCTTTTTTGATTCAGTAACATGGAGTGCTTATACTCTTATATGTATCTCAGGTTCGTTATCCAAGCAATATAGATTTGTCACCAGTGGAAATCCCAAGGTTGGTTTCCTTGTAAACTCCATTCCACTATTGCTATTGTAATCTCGGCCCAATATTATAGGGCTGAACACTAGAAATGGCAACATGATTTCATTTATTTGTGTATTACTTTCATTTCGTTCTATTACAACATTGTACATACTATTTTATTGGTTACTAAGGCTTTTTATTTCAAAAAGATAGGAAGAGATGTAAGTAGGATGCTATATAGTTAACAAATCAAGGAAAACACATTGTTATTTCTTGTATTTGCTCTAATGATCTATAACTAGAACTAATATGATTTTTGTTTTTCTTGATGTACTAATAATTTTTATTTTTTGTTATTTTGATGTTGCAAGGGAGAAGAAGCTTCATTTGTTGGAGAATGGTGCTTCAGTTGAAAAAATTAGCAGCAACTTAGAACATGAAAAACCAAGTGTAGAAGAATCAACTATTTTACCAACAAAAAACAGCAATCAGGCTCATGTTAATGAACTGGATTCCTTGATTTGTTTTGATGAAAAACCAGAAACCCCCCCCTATTCAGATGGAGATTATAAGACAGCCCTCCCCACCTCCTGTTTTAGCTGAAGTCCAAGATTTGATTCCTACAGCATCACCTCCAGTCACTGATGCAGGGCCTGCTTCCTTAAAATTAAATTCCACTGATGGTGTCGTTGTTTCTGAATCCCCCCTCGAGTTACACATTGTGAGATATTCCATCTTTTTACTTTTTTTTTTCACATGATTTTCAATTTATGCAGTCATGTTTCAACATTGGAAAAAGCGATTGCATGTGCATGGCTTTGAGACAATTCCTTATTTGGGTATCACGTCTCCCACTTAGATTGCAAAAATTTCTGGAACTTGGTTGTTGTTGTACCCATAAGCCGCGAAGGTATATGAATTTTATTTCCAATTACTCAATGACGACTTGTTGTGTTTCAAATTAGATCTCACTGTTATTACAGTATCACCCATTTGATGATACAGGTGACAAGGGAACGAGCATTGAGAAATTGGGTCTTTGATGAAACTGCTGGAAACATTCATAGGGAGTTTGGATCTGGCTATCCTGGAGGTGAAATAACTATTACTGCTTTTTATTATTAAAGTAATTCAACAGCCATGGAATGTGATCATACGAATTTTCCTACTGTATCTATGTGATATTGTGATTATTTCATGAATTTACCTGTCCAAGTGTAAAAAGTTTGGGGTTTTGCTTCATTTTGTGTTTTCTAAGTAGATTTTTACACTATTGTTGGATGAAAATACCCCTGCTGTTTGTTTCCTCTATTCTTTATTCTTAAGATGTTTTTGGACAAACAATTTATTGTGTTTTCTAAGCAGATTTCAAGAATGTAAAACAATTTAGGTAATCAGAACTTATGATCTTCATTTGTCTCCTATGTGCTTATATTTTTGTCTAGAACTTAAACTTTTTCATTGTCAACTTTAGGTAATCAGTGTGCGTCCATTTATGACATTCACCAATAGACTTGGTCAAGATATATATTTGAAGCTAGGCAGCGAAGATGAACCGAGAATGTTGCGAGCATCTGATGTATGAGTCTTCTTTGTTTACCGTGAGACTGACCAACCTAGCAAGCTACAGGTGATTAGGGGTCCTTCGTGTGTGTGTGTGTATTTCTTTCATTATACAATTTTTATCTATTTATTATAGTGATATTTTCCTTACATATTGTTTATCTAATAGATCCGTGATGAAGGCACAAAATGGTCATTTCCTGTTCAAATTGAGAAGGAAGACACCATATTTCTTGTTTTGAAGGAGGAAGATGGCACTCCAGAAATTTGAAGGACTGGAATTCGAGGTTATGAAGAGGGATCACGTTTCATTGTTGTACTCCGTCGTGGACCAAGATATGGCCCCATTAGGTACACACACATCATATAACTTTGTATATTTATCAAAATGAAGGATAATTCAAGAAGCCCACTTTTATTTATTTCCATGCTTCTGCCTTACTTGTGAAAAAATTGTGCTTGACAGGATTGAAAACAGAACAGTTGGAGAAGTTGTTAGAATTTGGCAGTCTGGTTTGAATAATTGTGTGCATAAAAGTAATGAGGTTCTACCATTCAGTATTTCCTTATTCTCCTTTGACATTTTTTTTCTTTATATCTTCAAACATATAGCTGTAAAAGAACTAACTTTAATAAGGAAATAAATTAATTGTTGAAGTTTTTGATTGATTAAGTGTCTTGATTGAAACCGGTTGTACATGTTTTGACAAGGAGTTGTTGTATCTATTCAGAGTAGGCTTAGAGCAATGGTTGCAAGAGATGAGTTCAGAAGAAGAAGAAGAAACAAGGCTGCAACTAACATGTTGACTCTTTGTTGACTTATTGTTGTTTTTTGTGCAGAAAGGTGCTTTATGTTCTGATACTAGTATTGGTCAAGGGGGTACTATTACATGGAAGGTGCTTCAATACACACTTGCTTGCTCCATTGTACACAAACTAAGGAAATAGGAAAACACACAACGGAAATTGGAAAGCGAATGAAAATGACAAGTGATTTTGTGTTGTGTTTACAGGGTTGATGAAAGCGAATAGCTCTCGAGTTAGAAGTGGAAAAGAAAGCTCAAGCCGAAAGAGATAAGATGCTGAAAATGCAAGTGTTGTATTCTTCATTTCAATTGTTATTATGAAACATAGAGTAGATTAGATGAATGCAAATTTATATATTGTAAGAATTAGAATTGTATGACATTAAAGTTTATTCAATGGATTGTATTTTTTTGTATATGGTATTTTATTTCTATTATGACACATTAAATGCAAATTTAATTTAAAAATTAATAAATATATAAATATATATTTTTTTAAATATTTAAATTTATGATACGCAAAAATGTGTGTCATCTTCATTTATGACATGGCCTTTCTTGACAGGGGCTTTCTTGATACGCATTGCGTGTCATTAACACGCGCGTCGTAAGGTTACAACACGCGAATGCGTGTCGTCTTCCTTTATGACAGGGCCTTCCTTGATACGCATTGCGTGTCGTAAACGCGCGTCGTAATTGCGCGTCGTAAATGAGCGTCGTAAATGCGCGTCGTCTCTCTTTATGACAGGGCCTTCCTTGACACGCATTTGCGCGTCGTCTGAGCCTTTTACGACGGGCAATGAGCGTCGTAAAAGGTTGTTTTTCTAGTAGTGAAATATATACGTATACAGACTTGCAAACAAAACAACTTGATAATTCGCCCATCTTAAGCTCTTGCGCCACTTCCTGTAATACAAATAAACTGAATGGGTCAGGCTTGGGAGCCTGGTGAGCATATAGGGTTTTCAACCCACAATAATTATATTTAATTTCAACAATCAACAATAAACCCGATTACCCATTCCCGTTATCCTCACCTTACGTTCCTAAAAATAACATCTATTATAAGGAACCTATTTCAGGATTTTCATCGGGACGGACATCACTGCAGAGGGGCTTCCTCAACAATAAGTGTCCTAAAGGCAACCATGTGGGGGATAGAGTACACCGGTGAACATGTCGTTCACAACACCTACAGGTAATGAGCCTGCTAGTGTTCCACAGGACAGTCTAGAATAGTCCGTGGTCGTCATCCATACTCTGCTGAATGACTAGAGTAACACCAATAACACCGAGGCCTCTCATCTGTTTATTTCACACCAATTATCTACCCATGTTCTACCCAACATATTAGTAGATAAAAATATACATTTTTATACATTGTTTAAAAACCTATATAGCATGCTTTAATCAATACATATTCCACATAACAGATGAGGCATACACACATAACACGTATTTCATAGAGAATATATCAGATCTATGAGATAGAAGAGAGTGAATATACATTCACACATATAACCACAAAATATTTACACGTAGCACGTATTTTATATTAAATACTTCATAATATTGCGTTGGAAAGAAAATAACTACGCACTCACTTGATCAGAAGATGATCCGACAGCACTACGACTTATAGAAGTAGTATACTTCGATAGATCTGGAAGATCTTCACCAAAATCGAACTCCTCGCGGGCAGAGCTTCGGCTCGGGAATAACGCTCTTTGGGATCCTCGGGGCTTCGGATCTTGCTTCGGGGCTCGGGAATGATACCGGGGCTTCGGGGTATAAACGGCACGCAAAACGAGGCAAAACTTAGAGAGAGGGAAGAGTTTGAACAAGAGAAAATGGTTGAATTCGAGTTCTATTTATAGGCTGAGGGTTTGGGATTACGCGGGGCGTAATCTCAAATTACGCAGGGCGTACTCGAGTTACGCGGGGCGTACTTTGACGTCACTGCGTGCGTCGACTGGTGGCACTCGAGTATTGGTCAGACAAGTTGCATCCGACTGAGTACGCTGGGCGTACTCAATTACGCGGGGCGTAATTGACTCGTCGAACTTCTAAATTGCGTAACTTTCGCATACGAGCTCCGTTTTCGACGTTCTTTATATCCACGCGAAGGTCAGACCATACTCTACAACTTTCATTTAGACTCCGTCGGCTAATTTTGACTTTTATTTTTATTATTTATTTTTAGAAGGTCGGGACAGAAAACTTCGTTATAAATTCATAACTTCTTCGTCTGACGTCCGTTCTCGCCTAACTTTTCATCGTTTCGCTACTAACAACGAGATCTTCGATTCTCATTTAGATTGTTTCGGCTAAAAACCGCTCGATCTCAAATCGAGTATTCGGGCTGCATACTGCCACGTCGAAACTTCAGAAAATCATAACTTCCTCATACGAAGTCAGATTTGGGCGTTCCTTTTATGCACGCTCTCGGTTTAACGAAATCTACGACTTTCGTTTAGATCGCTAAGGCTAAATATCGCTCTATCTTAAATTCATATTTTACGTCACTCGGCGTCGTGCCGGTTCTGTCTCGAAACTTCGACAGGTCATAACTTCTTCGTTATTAACTCGGATTTTGGCATTCCTTATATCTCCGAAATCCTTGTTTCAACCACTACAACTTTATGCAAAGATGTCGGGCTTATCTCACACTTTAATTTTGACGCTTATTTTATTCTTAATTCATTAAATTATAAAAATTAAGAAAATACACACATAAATCACATAATTCAAATAATTCACAAATAATACATTCTTATTATTTCAAGTTGAGTTACAAGGTTAACCTAGACTATTACATTGCTAAAAATGGCAAGCTCAGAAACACGGGCGTTACACGCTTCCTTGACTAGTGGAGGGTCGTTAGCCGAACGGGTAAGAAAGGACATTAATCCTTGTTAAAAGTATAATGATAATAATAAACGAACTAAACACTTTATAAATTCCTAATCTTAGTTACTTTAGGAAAAATGTGAATTTGAAGCTAGCCCATGAAATTGCACTTTGCAGTTTGCCAAGTCGTTAGTGGAGCGTGTGTGGTTAACCGGCACACTAACTTGGACTAGTAAGGGTGGCAAAGGGTAGATCGATGTTTGTCATAGATTAATGGAGCGTGTGTGGTTAACCGGCACATTGATTAGGTGATAAATGACATCAAGAGTACCAAGCTTTTTTGCATGGTTATTCACACCTTGTTTGTGATCCTCGGTATCCTAGTCACAAACTTGAAGGGCATAATCAAGGTTAAACATGCCATTGAAAAGTTCAATGAATCTCATAGAATCTAGGAGTTTCAATTCATTTAAAACTTAATATTCAATTTCGTTTTTCATGGTGGAAATTGGTAAATCGTCATTTACCTACCTTCAAATAGTTTATAATTGGATTACGGCATCCCTCTTCCGAATTGTAAAATATTGTGTTGGGTCCTATCCTTAAAATTTATTTGGGTGTTATATTAATGACATAAATCAACTAAACTTGAATTTCTCCCTTGTAGATGTCTAGTTCTGACAACTATGGTCTTCCCAAATCCTTTCTTTATATAGATGATATTTCACAAGACGATCAAGGTGAAAGATTAATCCCTTCTTTGTGCTGTAGTGGTACTTCACTTCCTCCACCTCCTCCCATAATTCTCCCTAACCCACATGTTCAAAGATTTGAAAAGTTCAAGGTCACTTGAGCCTGATTGGCTAGCAAACACCAAGATGGAAGGTCTGTGTGTGCACATGTCTTGGAGATGAAGTCACACATTGACAGGCTTAGAATGTTGGGTGTTGTTGTTTCAAGGAAGTTGGCAGTTGACTTGGTTCTTCAATCACTTCCTAAGTCATATAGCGGGTTCATTAAGGACTGCTATATGGGAGATCACCACATGACCCTTATTGAGCTAACATATTTCCTTGTTGTTGTTGAATCAACAATGATTTGGTACATTGGTAAAACAAATTTGATTGGAAGATCGACTTCCCAAACTTCCATGGACACTGAGAATGGAAACATTGGAAGTCCAGAGAAGCTTTCTCTTCCCAATGGAAATGGATCGGCCATGGTCAAGTCATTTAACCAAATGGTAAAGCGAAAGGCTAAGTATGAGATTGTCCCATGTACCATTCCAAGAGA